GGCAGGGGTAAGACATCTAAATGGAACTTTGATTTGACTGCATGGTCGCTGTGTTTACAGTAACCGTGGAGAATACTCATTTATGGTTTGAAAAAAACTCAAACAACGAAGTTCCAGTCAAGAGTGTAACCACCGTTTTGAATTTAGTTCTAACTGTGACACTCTTAAGGAAAGAAATCAGGAGAATTTATCAGGAAAATGTCTGTGAAGACTCTCAGTCATCCAGGTCGTGGTTGATTAATGGTAGCAACTGGACTTGCTTGAGTTCCTTGAAGACGTTCCACCTCTCATCCAAGAGGCTTCATCAGGTCTGACTGACTAGTTGGGAGTTTTCAGATATTCTTAAGGAGTCATTAACACCTGAGTTTTGGTTTCAATTGGGGGTTTGTTGCTCCTCCTCCTCGTTATGTGAGTCGTTTGTGCTGCCACAATGGGGTTTGTTAAGGTCTTTTGTGGCTAGGTGTTAATGGCTCCTTAAGGATGTAAGTATCTGGAACTAGTCAGTCAGAACTGTTGAAGCTTCTTGGATGAGAGCTGAAATGTCTTCAAGGAACTCAAGCAAGTCCAGTTGCTACGATGAATCTACGAGAATTTATCAGGTCATGCAAATCAGAAAACTACAATAGTGCTTTTTGTAAAGATCACCGTAATCTCATCCTCCAGTGTGTAACAGCTGCGTTGGTCCACAGCACAAAGACGTATTAGCTTCACAATGAAAACTGTAGAATTGTGAGATTCTTCATTATTTTTGGCCTTTTCTTTTCCACTGGCCTGCGTCACAGGACTTTCACCCACGTTTCAATTCCCACACGATTCCACTTTTTCGTGGCTTTTCACTCTTTTCTTTTCAGGCACTGTTTGCCTTGATTCACGCTGATCCTGCACTTGAACTCCAGCCTCGTAGCATGCTGGGACAAAACACTTGGTTAAGGTCATATTAAAATACACCCAAAGAAAAAAAAAAGAAAAACACAAGCATCTTACAATTTTACAGCCTTTTTTTCTTTTGTGAAACTAATAAACTCTTTGAACCAACACAGCTAATCTGGGCTGTTCAGATAAAAGCAGTAATAAAACACAAAGTTAAAGAGAGCGATAAAGCATTAATCGTACATTATCGATGATAATTTCCCTCGTCAGGCACAGCTGGCAGCAGTAATCCTGCTTCACATCACAGACTGTAGATAAAAGATTAACCTCTGTGTCTGGAAAATGAAGCACCTGCATTCTTTGTAACAGCCAGCAGGGGGCGACTCCTCTCATTTCGACTGTATAGAAGTGTATGAGCAAATGAACCTGCTTCTTTTTTGATTTACTACCTCAGTAAACATTTTCCTCATGAGTTTATGGTCTCGATGGCTAGTTTCACCTCTCCTTCAATGCAGCAGGATGTTCATTTTGCAAATTGTATTCTAATTCAAAGTAAAACAGCTTTTAGAAAAGCTTTACAAAAGCAAAGGTAGGAAGACTTACAGGTTGGCTCACAAATGCTTGTCTGGTTTATGTCGCTCTAATTAAGGAGGAGGAGAGCTTAGTTTCCGAGCTGGATTGCATGTGTTGATGTGATTTCGAGCGCAGCATGATACAGCATTGGCAGCTCAGCATATATGAATGCAAGGTTTTCCAGTGGCAGAAACAAGATTTGTTATTCCTTCTGCATGAGCTTCGTCTTTTACAATCAGTGAAATGAGATTGCAATTTGGTGAGAATGTCTAAACATTTACCACAAAAAAAAGACACTGATTGTAGTTTTCTTCTTTTGCCTTGTGATTAAAAAAATAAATAAAAAATTTGAAGATTGTACAAGATAATTAAATAGTAGTTTCCTGGTCATACGCTGTGAGTTTACAGTTGTACTGATGAACTTTTTTTTTTGCATCTGCTCATAGGTTCACAGAAGTACAACAAAGGTTCAACAGATACACGTGACACAGGTACAGTAAGTGTTTGACTTCATCAAAATGTGCAGATTTGGGTTTGTTTTAGTAGTTTAAAAAGGGTCCCTATTAGCCGAATGCCAGAGAAATTAGCTGCTCTTCACTAACGATGACACTGTGTGCACAACAACACGTGTGCTGATCAATGATGATGAAGACACAGAACAAAGAAATGCCAAAATAGCACATCGTCAATGTTTTAGTGCGACAGAATTCTACAAATCGTGTTTTCATTGGAGCTTATTAGGAGTTGCGAAGCTCCCTTGTAGTTCACACCCTGATTGAGTGAAAAAAACACTCCAACTGCTTGAGATTCAGTGACAGCAGTGCTCCAGTTTAGCAGCATTTGAGCTCCAACAGTTTCCCCTCCAGCGGCCTCCAGACCCGGGTTCAGCCCTCAGCTCTGAGCTCCGTTAACCTTATCGCTGCCTTTATCTCAGCTGAACCACTCTGGCTGTAGCAGAGATACATGTTCTCCCTGCAACACTTACAGAAATGTTCTCTTGTCTCTGTGTGAGCAGACATCTTGAACCTGAAGATTTTACTGGTGATTTCTGTGATACTGAACGTCACCGTGCCGGTCATCGTTTACCTGCGAATGCGTCTCCAGAAAAAGCAGCAGGTGAGCAAAAATGTGTTTCTTGTTTTTGTGTAGCTCCTTTATGTTGCAACCAGTTTAGCAGCTACAGGTAAGGAGCACAGCGGCATGCAGGAAGGTACAGTGGGATTATATATGAGCCAAGGATATTCAAGTCATGTCGATGTTGATTTCTGGGCTGCAAGGTGGAGCGGTGGTTAGCATCGTTGCCTCGCAGCTAGAAGGTCGCCGGATGAGGATCTTTCTGCGTGGAGTTTGTATGTTCTCCCCGTGCAGCGTGGGTTCTCTCCGGGTTCTTCCTCCCACTCAGTCCAGAAACATGTTGAGGTTAATTGGTGATTCTAAATTGTCCATAGGTGTGAATGTGCTTGTTTGTCTGCCTTCACCCTAAATCAGCTGGGATAGAGTCCAGCCCCCCTAGTGAGGATTAAGCGGCGTATAGATGATGGATGGATTTTCATACGTCAGTCACTCTTAATCTGGAAATCAAATCAACCAAAAAAAAAAATCAATCTATTTCTTACAACATCAAAATAATTAAAGTTTCATTTCTTTTTTTTTTTTTTGGAAAAGATGGCAAACGGAGCCTGGATCTGGTCAGACACAGACCCGAAGGTACTTCTGATCGAAACTGTGCAGCGCATGCTTCCCTTCTTCCTCGATCCCACTGTTTCCCTGCTGTGGAATGTGTTTGTTTAGGATGATTAACAGCAGTGCAGGGCATAAAGAGGAAGCTATGTTAAAGTTGTTGTTTAACCACCTCTGTGTCGGGCAAAGTCGGAAACAACCGTCCAGTCAGAGCAGCTTTAATGAATGATTGCCAGAAGTTTGTTTTTATGATCAAAGAAAGAAAAAAAAAGTGTTATATGACATTACAAGCTTGCCTATATTAAACTTTTGTTTTTTTTTTTTTGCACTAATCTCTGCGTTAACTCATCTCTGCACTGAATGAATTGATTCTCCTGCTATCTGAACCCACAACCTCTGGTCCTGTTAGAAGCATCCCATCAGGCTGCAGCTTCTAACAGCATCTTATTTTTTTTCTCTTTCAGCCAAATGGAAATGTGGAAATGGTTCCATTGCAGGTAACTATGAGACTGCAGTGTCTAATGAGCTGCACGAGGACGTTCACACATGGTGCATTTCCTTTCACGCTGTCTTTAAAGGAACGTTTCACAGTTTCGGGGGTGACTAATGTGTGGTATTGATAATAACTGATAATCAAATAGCGCTTGTCTAGACACTCTAGTTATCCGTTCACACACATTCATTGCGGTGGTAGAGTTGCCAAAACAATCAGTCGAAAGACACTAAAAGAAAACTTGGAAGGACCTGCAGAGGTCATGATTCCTGCTGGGTTTATCACCCGGTGTCCTTTCACATCACACAGTTTCCATTTCTTACATGTTTTTTTTATAAACACGTTGATAGGAGCAGCTTCCGGTGACTCCCATAAACATAAATGACCCAGATTGATTTCGTCTTACCCAACTGGTCTCATAGTTATCTCTCTCTCTCTCTGTGTAAAAATGGACTTTGTGCACAAGTCCTTTATTATTGCTTTTTGGCATTTATCAGCTTTAGTGGGCAGGAAGACAAGCGAGCAAGGAGAAGAGTGGGGGAAGGACATGCAGCAAGTAACTGTAGGCCGCTGCATCGGGGACTTTAGGGCCTGTTTATGGGTCGCCCGCTCAACCTGTTGAGCTTCCAGGGCACCCAAGTCCTTTATTTGAAGTGACACAAAATGGATCCAAGAAAATGGATGGATGATAATAGTTCAAAGCACCGCCATGCTTTCAGCCTTTACAGCTGCACTGGTTGTAGGTTCTTGTTAGTGTCCAGACGCTGAGCTCTCTTCTGTCTTCTCACTGTCCCAGAATGACGCCTAAATTCAGCTGTGACTGAGAACAACACCAACATCTGCACTCTTCTGTATATTCTTCACGCATCGCAGCTGTGAAATGGAACACAGTATTATTGCCTCGGGGCCCACGTTGGAAAGGATCAACCGAAAGGCAAAGTCTCACTTCAACTGGGAAGACAAGTGAGAGTTACCATGCGGCAGCATGCCAGCTGGCTGAGCCACAATGCCGTCCCTGCCAAGCACTGTGTGTCCAAAGTGCAACAAAGACCTCCTCAAAGTCTCAACTGAGTTTGTGAATTTTAAGGAAGTCTGCTGGGAGAAGCTTGTTTTTCTCCCATGTTATTTTGAAGAGCAAACTGGGAAATGTTGAAGCAGGAATGTTGGTGTATTAATGAGGCAGACAAGAGCTAGAGAGCAGCAGGGCGAAGTACACTTCTTAATATTTGATGTGCAACCTTGGCAACATTTGTAAAATGTGGCAGCGTGAAGGCCTCAGCAGAGTTCTTACCGGTAATGTGTTGTTGTTCTTGGCAAAGCCAATTTATTGTGATGTGCAGCTTACACTTCTGGATTGTCTACACTGTGTCAATGAGTGCTTTGTGTCACATCAACCAACCTATCAGATAGGAATCACAAAAACCACGATAAAGTCGACTCAGCCTTTTACTTCTAGGATCACCTCCTCTGTCTTAACTTTCTGCGTCCAGCTGTCCAACTTCAGCACATAAAGCATGCGTGTGCAGTGATCAGTGTGTGTTGGTTGCTCAGGTTTTATTTTATGTTGTTTTCCATCCTGTGCTTTCAAATTGACTGTGATGAGGATGCAAGTGAAAAGCCGACTGTGCATCCATGAAATGAAATCTGAATAACTCTCAGATGCGTCTTTTTTTCATTGTGATACACTGCAAAGCTAGCCAGCATGATTATGCTATGCCACCTCTCCTGCAAAAATGTGATTAAAAATAGGTGCATGTTGTTGTTCTGGATAGGTTCTCCTCCATCAGGCTCATACAACTAAACTTCCTAAAGTTATTGTGTTGAATATCTTAGCATCATAGAAGATGAACTAATACTGTGCACATACTCGTTTGCATGTGACAAGTGGTCGTCAAACACACACAGTGTCAAATTATTCACCAGTCAGTCAGTGTCAGTAGGAATGTGATGCATGTAGATCCGTGTGTGTGTGACTTTGTGATTGTGTGGGTTAAAGCGGATCTTTACCATCTTCTACAGCAGGTTCTGTAGGTCTGTGCCAGTGTTGGAAACTGAGCCAGCGATCCCGTGAACCAGTTTAATGAACACCTTAAGTTCTCAGGTGTGCACGCTCCAGGTGCCACACTGTAAGAGCACTTAAGCTCTTGTAGGAGTTCTCCTGCTGTTGTTGTTGTGACAAGTCTCGGCTACTATGGTTTCTAAAGACTCCAAAGCTTTCTAGTGCTGATGGAATGAAGACTGATTTCCAGTCTCCTTAAGTACAAGATCAGCCTCTTTGTTCTGCCATTCATGGGAAACGCTGTGGAGCTCCCGCGCCGCTCTGCCTTGTTTGTCTTGTGGTTTCACAGTGTTTGTCTTTCAATGCATTTACTTTCTGTTCAGCCATTTACAAGATGTACTTATTTTTGCATGTTTTTAAAGCCATCTATTTATTGTGTCAGAGTAGGAGTGTGTGTGTGTGTGTGTGTGCTTGGTTTTGAACATGCAGCTAGGATGTGCCGTCCCTGTTTAGACTGATGATAATGCACAGACTGAATTGTGAGAACACTGAGAGAGCAGGAATCATGTTATATGCTATGATCGCCTTCTGTGTGGAAGTCCAGCCATATACATGAGTAAAAAAAAAGAAAAAATACATCTTAAAAAAAACACCAGGTTTGGAACACTAGGACTTGTATGTTGACTTTGGAACAGGAAGATTGTATTTTTCATTTTGGCAGCATAAGTGTGAAATAGTAAAGTAACAGAACAGCTCAGCTGTCACCTGGTCGTATATTTTTTGTCAGTGTTATATGTATTTTTTGTACCATCTTTATTCTGTAAAAGGAAAAAAAAAATGAAGAAGTGGGGCTGCAGGGTGGCTCGGTGGTTAGCACCGCTAGAAGATCACCAGTTCACGTCGTGGTTGAGGACACCCAGAGTTTACATGTTCTCCTCGTGCAGCGTGGGTTCTCTCCGGGTTCTCCGGCTTCCTCCCACACTCCAAAAACACCCTGAGGTTAATTGGTGATTCTAAATTGTCCGTAGGTGTGAATGTGAGTGTGCTTGGTTGTCTGTCTCTAAGTGTAGCCCTGTGATAGACTGGTTACCTGTCCAGGTGAACCTGCCTTCACCCTGAGTCAGCTGAGATAGACTCCAGCAACCCAAGTGAGGATTAAGCGGTGTATAGATGATGATGGATGAATGAAGAAATGTGTTCACTATTTGTTTCTGTAGAAGAATTCAGCATTACAGGTGAATGCTGATGTATATTACAGCATGTGTTGGTTTCTGTGAGTTTCTTAATGTTCGATGCCACCGTGTTTATTTCTGACGTTTGCAGGGCCCCAAAGTCAGAACTGTGTGCAAAAGTCATAATATAACAAATAAAGTCCTTCTGTTTGGACACTACGAGTTTCCTGGTCGTATATTTCCTCAAACGGTGCTTCATAACTTTCATTTTTAGAACAACTGCAAGATTTGTCACACTTTTTAATACAATATAGCTTTTCCTGTGATGTTTCTATGTCGTGAAGATAAAAACAATGGATATCTTTTAACACTAATAGCCACACATACCAGAAAGATCGTGTCAGTACAGCGTGATGATTGTGATCAGCCACTGAAAGGGAAAGACGGTAACACCGATTATCTTGTCAAAATTGCAGCAAGTGAACAGTCAGTTCTTGAAGTTGATGAGTTGGAAGCAGGGCAAAGAGGCAGTGGGAGGATCTGAGTTAATTTAACAAGGACCAAATAGTGATGGCCAGACAACTGGGTCAGAGCATTTCCAAATCAGCAGGTCTTGTGGGATGTAGTGGTTAGAAACTACCAAACAGCGGTCTTCTACTTGATCAAGGATCAAAACACTGGTTCAGAAAATTACAGTCAGCGAGCTGTTCATCTGTAACCAACTTCCCCAGCAATGGATAGAGCTTCATGTAAATGTGATGCAAAGCAATTGGCTTCTAAACAGACATTTAATTTAAATTGGCAAACGTGAATGGCTATCTGGTTGTGGAGGAGCTGTGGTTTAAACTTCGCTCTCCCTACGTTGGTGCTCAGATATGTCCTCTTGGCACACGATCCATCCAATCTGCAGCATCCGCGCCCTGTAAAGAAAAACCTCCCTACAAACATCTGGATATCAGTACTTTTCCTCTGAATAGCTGCCATATATGCTGCTCTTACTTCGAAGGGGGATGGTATGCCTATCAGTGCAAGGTACTGCTCGGTACCATTATCTGTGTACATTATGTGTGTGTATGTAGCTGCATTCACTCCATCTGACCCGGTTCAATCTCCCTGAGTTCAGTCTCTCAAGGCCTGCTTGAATCCTTCAAAAAGTACATATGCAACAAATTGTGCAAATCAGGGCTTCCTTGATTTTTCCTTATTAGATGAAAAAGGGACATTGAGAGCGACAACGAAAGAGAGACTGAGGAAGCGTGTGACGAAGTAGTTCTGAGGCTGTTCAGTTCCGACTTTAGTGGTTTTCAGGAGGAAGATGAAGACAGCGATCAATGACTTTTCCTGGTAGGCGACTGTATTTTTTTTTTTTTTAACCAGCCGTGTTACAGGCACTGCTCGGAAAAAAGCATTTATGGTACTTATTGGTGTATGTTACCGGTACGTATTTAATTAATAGTTTATAAAATCTTTCTGTGTGAATATCTCATGTTACAACGTGGACACCTGCAGCTTATAGACAAGTGCAGCCTGTATATGTACACATTTTTTTCTTTTTAAAGTCAGTGGGTACGGCTTATAAACAGGTGAGCTCAATCGTCTGAAAACTACGCCACTCCTTTTATATCACACACTGACATTATATCCCCAGTAGCTTCCGAATAAACATAACTGGCCTTAGATGGTTTCAGCTTCCATCAACTGATCTGAGATTTAATTGATCAATTTATCAAAAAGTTGTTTTACGCGTAGGTCCTTCAATTTTATATTGCCAAATATAAAAGCTCTTCTTCCTCCACGGGTGACGCCACGTGCAGTAACGTGATGTTTACGTAGGGCGGCACACAGTCCTGAGTGTGTTGATGTGGTAACAGAGGCTGCTGAAAAGATGAAGTGGACACTATCAACTTGTTATCAGCTCTCCAAACTCTCCCCGCTATGCTGCGCCGCTTGTTTCCTGCTCAGCGCAGCAGATAAATGTCCCACATGTACGATCGTCAGACGAGGTTTGGGAATCGTTTTTCAAAAAAGAGCTGCGGTGCCAGCAGCACAGTCGGATGTTGGTTTAGCTTTTCCCAGCAGCATGTCAAAAAACACACACTTGCTTGAACGCATTAGGCTTGAAGAGTTTCCAAAGACAACAAACAAAGAAGACAGAGAAGCCTGACAGTTCTACTCTCACTGATGGACGAATTCCAAAGACGAAGCCGCGCGCTACCCTCAGGGTGTTATCTGCTGAGTTTATTAACGTTTCCTGAATGATGAGAACCTCCAACTCATGGAACTCGAGGTCAGCCAGGAAAGGTCACCGATCCAAACTGACTTCCGTGCCTGATCGAGGAAGTCTAACGTGAACTGATAAAAAAAAAAAAAAACGTCCAAATAGTAAAAGCCTGTGGGAAACGTTATCACCTCCTCGTCTGCATGCAGTGAGCCTGAATGACGCACTGCTGGTTACGGAAAGTTGCAAAAGACTGTCGAAGCCAGCGTATTAACACTTCTCTTAATTTGACCCGTATGACGACAACTTTAACATGTGTGCAGAAGTTTAGCATTTCTGACTTTTGCAACCCCCCGGGGTCATATTAGAAAGTCTAGTAGTCCTGAGGGAACACCATTAATCAGGCAAGATGATGAGTTTGTGCTCATCTCTAATAAATCAGCCATTTCTTGGACTACTTTGCCATTACTCGTCCTTGTTTGGCAACCAGTCCAGTGTAGTTCTGTCCTATTTTTGCCTACACTAACTGTAACTTTGTCCTGCTGTCCATTTGATGCGTTGGCAGAAAAAGTTCTTTATCAGAATCAGAAAAACTTTATTTATCCCTGAGGGGCAATCTGGTGGACACATTAAAAATGAGAAAGAAAAAAGAAAAGACAAAAACCATGGGTGGGCGAAAGCAGCAGATTACAGTCGTCCTCCCATTTATTCATACCCTCTCATTAAATAAGGAAGCTGTAGCTGAAATATGTTGAAATTTACTAAAGTAATAATAAATAAAAATTTAGTGAAAATCATGACTTTGCTTTTGAATTGTGGTTCAACAGAAATATAAAAAAAACCCCAAAAAAACATGCATGATGGGACCCGTAAGCTAATATTTAGTTGAACAACCCTTTGAGCCAATCGCTGCCATCAGGTGTTTTCTGTAACTCTCAACCAGACTTCTGCACCTGTTGACAGGTATTCTGGTCCACTGCTCATCAGCAAAGTGCTCTAATTTGTCCGGGAGAGTTTTGCTTTTTTTTTTTTTAATTATTCTTTTCAACCACAATTCAAAAGCAATGTGTTATTTCACTTGATTATAATTTAGCAATTTTTTATTTATTATTACTTTTTCCAGTTTCTAGTTATGTGAGTGGCTATTGTGAATTTTGCCTTTTCTGTAATGGAAGGGGATGAATACATCTAAGGATGACTGTATGTGCAGCTGCCAGTAACAGTATGAGTGTTGCTGCAGAGGTGGTAAAGGTAGCAATGTTCATATAAGTGTCAGAGATGTAAAACAGCAGATTATGTATGTATTTATTCACCCTAGAAGTTGTTGCGTATAAACAAAGGTTCATGGTTCACGGAGTCTTTATTACCCCCCGTGGGATAATTTGCTCTGCAGCAATAAAACAATCAATCTGTGCAACAATCGCACAGGAACAACAATAAATAGCAAAGAGACAATAATAAATGAATAAAACAGAAAGTCGATATACTTGTTCAGCAGGAACAAAAGAACGCTTGTTAGTTCTGCATTTTGGCTGGATGCTACCTGCCAAAGGGTGGCTCTGATCCACGAGGACTGAACGGGCCCCACAGGGGAAAGATACAAAGAGAAAACTGTTTTATAAAAATACTTGGACACGGCCTAAGAGTGAATCTGTTTGCACAAGCGAGTGTTGCATAAATTACGAAATCTATGATTCAGGAAAGTGCAAGACTGAACAGAGAACTACTGTTTCACTTAATTACCCTGCAGGGAGGGAGGAGTGCTGGAGCTGAATCAGAGTTTGTCACCAGCAGCATTGGACATGACTGTCAGACTGCATTCTTTGTACATGATTAGTCAAAGCTTTGTATTTCGCCTCAGGCCAGAAAACCCACAGAGGTAGAAAATATAGGACAGATGGAAACTGTTGTCTTGCACAATACTACGGGGAATAAATCATAAAGCTCACTGCCCTCCTGTTTTAAATGAACGCTTTTGTTCTCTTAAGGTTTGTACGCACTCACCTGTGAATGTAAAGAATATATCTGCAAGATGAACTTTTTCAAAAGGTTTAATTTGGATTACAAAAGTCTGAATTTGGAAATCCCCTGTTTTGCTACCCGGGATCAGGTAATCCGTCCCACTGTTATGTTGGTCCTCCAAAGCAACATTTGATTGGATCGCTCTAATCCAGATAGAAAACGTCTCAAGATTTTCAACAATCATTTTTGTTTTAAATCATAACATCTGTTTAGGGGGTTATTTTTATGGGGACAAAATGTCTTCCTTTACTTTATTAAAGATTAGATTAGATAGAACTTTATTGATCCCTTTGGTGGGGTACCTCAGAGAAACTGTTAAGGGTTTAATAGGTGGCCGAATGTTTATTTTATCTACTTTATCACTGTAAAGTTTAAACAAGTCAAGTGCAAAACAGATAAATGTAAACATGTGATACAAATGTTGTC